ACGCCTCCATATTTACCCCGTGGCCCCGCCCCTACCCCGCCCCAGGCGCCCACGCACAATTCTTGACCCGCCCCCTCGCTGACCCCTCCTCTTTGCCTTCTCTAGCCGAAGACAAGCGCTACTGCGAAGCGGGCTTCAGCTCCGCGGTCACTCAGGCGAGTAGGGAGCATAAGCGGCGTGGGGGCAGCTCCCAAACAGGGCCCCTCTCACCTCCAGGGTTTCCCTTTCAGGCTGGAGAGCTGGTGCTTGGGGCCCCTGGCGGCTATTTTTTCTTAGGTACGTGCCCATCCGTACACCTCCCTCCCTCCTCTTGGCCTGGGGAGACCCCAGTCGTCGCAGCCCCCACACCCGCTGTCCCTCGCGCCCTAGGTCTCCTGGCGCGAGCTCCTATTGCCGATATCGTCTCGAGTTACCGCCCAGGCACCCTCTTGTGGAACGTGCCCGCCCAGCGCTTCTCCGCAGACTACAACAACCCAGTGTACTTCGACGGCTACCGGGGTAATCCTGGCCCCTCCCTTCTAGACTTCTCATCCCTCTAAGTATCACCGCCCCCTCCGCCGGTCAAGTCCTGCCCCTGCGGGAGCGCCCTCAGTCCAACCCCCCTGGCCAACTCCAACCCCAGAGGCATCGAAGGCGCCTCCACTCTCTGCTCCCACAGTTTCCCCGCCGACCGCCCAACTCCCATATGCCCCACCTCGCCTTCCCCGCCCTGGATTCGCTGGGCCGCCTAGGGCAGGTCTTGGCCTCTCGATGGCCTCAGTTTTCCCATCTACGCGATGCAGGGTTTGGGTCTCTGGGTCCCCTTCTTCCTCGCCCTTGGCCCCTCTCCCTGCTTCACCCTCCCAGAAAGAATAATTCGTGCCGTGTCTTCAGGGTACTCGGTGGCCGTGGGCGAGTTCGACGGGGATATCAACACTACAGGCAAGAAATCCATTTAGGGGCAAAGGTTGGGGAGCCCAGCCCGGGGAGGAGCACCTCCACTCCCCACCACGAAATCTCCCCTGGGTGGCAGAATGGCGGGCGGGAGGTGGGTAGGTTGGAAGGACCTCATTAACTGGGGTCCGGCTCTCCCTAGAGTATGTCTTAGGCGCCCCCACCTGGAGCTGGACCCTGGGAGCGGTGAGTGCCCCTTGTCCCGCCACCGGCATCCCAAAGCTCTCGGCCCCATTCCTCAGCCTCACAAGCCCCCTACGCCACCCCCCCCCCCCCCCCCCCCCCCCCCCCCCCCGCCCTTTCTGCCCTGGAGCGGGAGCAAGAATGATGAGCGCCTGGGCGTTGTCCGTGCAGGTGGAAATTTTGAACTCGTACCACCAGACGCTGCACCGGCTGCACGGAGAGCAGGTGGAAACCGGTCCCGTTGGGGGGTGGCGGAAGCTGGGGAACTGGAACCCTAGAATATTCCGCGGAGCGTGGAGGGCAGTGTTAAGAGAAGGTGCCGGCCTGGGGGCAGGAATTAAGTAAGCCTCGTCTTCCTGCAGATGGCTTCGTATTTCGGGCACTCGGTGGCCGTCACTGATGTCAACGGGGACGGGTGAGGGGCGCCCCATCCCTACGGACTTGAGTCCCCTATTACCAGAGAGGTTGACTGCTCTCGGTCCCCTCCTTTCCTCGCCCGTTCCCATGTGACCACCGAGGGGCGCGGAAGGGCGAGAATGAGCGAGATTTGGCCCAGGCCCGCAGCATCCCTCTCACCCACCCCCACGGAACCGCCCGTCTGGCCTGCAGGAGGCACGACCTGCTGGTGGGCGCGCCACTGTACATGGAGAGCCGCGCTGACCGCAAACTGGCCGAGGTGGGGCGTGTGTACTTGTTCCTGCAGCCTCGCGGTCACCACCCACTGGGCGCCCCCAGCCTTCTGCTGACGGGCACACAGCTCTACGGGAGATTCGGCTCCGCCATCGCGCCTCTGGGCGACCTCGACCGGGACGGCTACAACGGTAAGGGAAGAAAGGTGCCCCACTTGCTGCAGAGGGGTTAACAGCCGCAACAAAGACTGTGGGTTTAAGAGTTGAAAGAGATCAGTTAGGATTTGTTTGCATTGGTCTAGGCAAGAGATGGTGAGCACTTGGGTGTGGATTTCGGCAGTGGAGTTAGAGACAGGGGTGACTTCACAGATATCCAGAACCTGGACTTTTGGGACTTGATGGGTGACTGGATGTGGAGCTAAGAGAGAGCGAGTCATTGGTGGAGAGGGGTATTGGTGCCTTCACTGCCTGGAACTCAGACCAAGCAGCAGGTCTGGGAAGGTGAAGTGGGGGGCAGAGATCAGCAGCTCAGCGCTGGGCCTGTTTGACCCTGAAGGGCTTGGGAGCAGTAGGCAGACTTCCAGAAAACAGTTGGGTTCCCCATTCCCACCAGAGCGGTCTGAGTGAGAGACAGAGGCCTGGGGAGGCTGGATGAGGTCCTGGGCACCTGTGAAGTGAGAAGAAGTAGAGGACAAAGCCCTGGGGAGCCAGAGCATTTAGGGGACTCCCAGATGAAGTGAGTCTGGAAAGGAGACAAAGGAGTGTCCAGAGAAGTAGTAGATCCAGGAGGTCTGATGGCCCAGAACTCAAAGGAAGAGAACCCTTTGAGCAGGAGGAAGGGGATCGGTGATTTCAGATGCTGCTGAAAGGCATACTTAGATGGAGCTGGAGAAGTATCCACGGACTTTAGCAAGAAGGTCATTGGTGACAGCGGTAAGAACTGATTCAGGGCCGGGTAGAGACAAAAGTCAGAATGCCAGGGGGCAAGGTATGAATGGAAGTGAAGAATTGGAGGCAGCCAGTGTAGACAGCTCTTTCAGTTTGTGAAAGGAAAAGAAAGAGAGAGAGAGAGAAGAAAAGAAAAGAAAAGAAAAGAAAAGAAAAGAAAAGAAAAGAAAAGAAAAAAGAAAAAAGAAAAGAAAAGAACAAGGAGAGTCCTGAAAGGAGATGAGGGTCAAGGGAAGGCTATTTTAATTTCAAAGCATATGGAGTAGGTTGAATGTGGAGGGAATGATCTTGTGGGGACACAGGGTGGGGAGGGAAGTGAGCCAGAGGAGGGTCCCTATGATGGGCCACAGAGAAGACCGGGCTGAGATGTTTAGCCTGGTGGCAGGGTAAAGGAAGGCAGAAAAGCGGGTTTGGACTGATAGCACAACAGTTGGGCTGCTTCTCTTTGTGAAGGAAGTGGGGGGCTGGGAACTTGACAGAATGAAGAAGGTTTGAAATAGGCACTGAGCAAAGTGGGGGAGAGGGCTGAGCAGTGCCCCCTCGGAACAGTTGGGCAGTACCTCCATCTCCACCTTCCTGGTGGTCAGGAATCCCTGGGGCCCAATCTGGTGAGGTCTGACCAGGTTTGCTGAGGACTGGCAGTGGGGCAAGATGGCTGAGGATATGACAAGGGTGATCGAATGGTCGGAAGGAAGTAAAGAAAGGAAGGTGCTAAAGATCAAGAGAGAATGGAGGCCCAGAGTCTGGGCATGAGACTGTGGTCAGAGTGGTCTTATATGGATGAATTCTGTGTAACTCAATCAGAAAAATCAATAGAAAAAAAAAAAAGAAAGAAAAATCAATAGGTTTTTTAAAGTTTATTTATTTTGAGACAGAGAAAGCATGGGAGGAAAAGAGAGGGAGAGAGTGAGGGAGAGCGTGAGGGGGGAGGGGCAGAGAGAGAGAGAGTGTGTGTGTGTGTGTGTGTGAGAGAGAGAGAGAGAGAGAGAGAGAGAGAGAGAATCCCAAGCAGGCTCTGCACTTTCAGTGCAAAGCCTGATGCCAGGCTCGAACTCACAAATCATGAGATCATGACCTGAGCCCAAGTAGGACCCACTGAGCCACCCGGGCACCCCAATCAATAGATTTTTAAAAGAAAAAAAAAAGCTGCATAGAAAACAAAGTCAGAAGACAAAGGAAAGACAGTTACAACATATATATAAAAGATCTTAATTCTTGTCACATGTAAAGAACTCCTACAAATTAATAAGATTATGATGATTAACAAATACATCTTCAAGAGTGATCTTACAAGTTCTTAGTGATGACAAGCCCATAGTGTGGCTCTGAGTTTGCATGGTGGAATTGAAATGGGGTGAAGGTCCCTAGGGGAAGAGGGAGCCATTTCTTCATTGGTCTTGATTATTTACTCTTCTGGGACTCAGTTTTTCCATCTAAAATTAGAATAATAATGCCTGGGGTGCCTGGGTGGCTTGGTTAGTTAAGCATCCAACTCTTGATTTTGGCTCAGGTCATGATCCCATGATTCGTGGGTTCAAGCCCCCCATCAGGCTGTGTGCTGACAGCTCGGAGCCTGCTTGGGATTCTCTCTCTCCCTCTCTTTCTGCCCCTCCCCTGCTTGTTTGTGCTCTTTCTCTCCCTCTCAAAATAAATAAACAAACCTAAAAAAATGGGAATAATAATGCCTAATTCAGGATTAAATGAAATCATGTCAATAAATTTTCTCAATAGCTATCAAAGGCTGCTACTGTGTTTATAATAATCCTAGTTGATGGGTCTCGTTTGTACTCACTCATAAACTCCTGGAGGGGCAGGACAACTGCTTCCTTGCACCAGACTTTTGTATCCCTCTCACGGTCTCCTGCCGTCTGCCCAGAGAAGGAGCTCAGGGCTGCCTGGATAAGAAACAAAAATTGGAGAAAATTGTAACAAACAGCCCCTCCCTTTCTTCCAGATGTTGCAGTGGCCGCCCCCTATGGGGGTCCCAGTGGTCGGGGCCAAGTGCTGGTGTTCCTGGGTCAGAGTGAGGGGCTTAGCTCACGCCCCTCCCAGATCCTGGACAGCCCCTTCCCCACAGGCTCTGGCTTCGGCTTCTCCCTGCGAGGTGGCACAGACATCGATGACAACGGATACCCAGGTGCCCCTGGAATGCCTCCGGCTAGCCAGGAAGGGCCCTTGGGCATTAGCTGGACATGCTGAAAAATACAGTCAGGGGCCTGTGCCCCACTGAGCGTCTGACCCCTCTGTGGGGCTGGGAGGCCAGGGGAGGCCAGGCGAGGCCAGGCCAAAACTCAGTGGAGGCAGTGGTGTGGGAAACTCTGGGAAAGAGGTGATGAGCTCCCTTGCCCCCTCTAACTGCTGATTCTGACCCCTCCAATATCTATAGACCTACTGGTAGGAGCTTATGGGGCTAACCAGGTGGCTGTGTACAGGTGAGTGCTGGCTCTAGGGGCGTGGTGGCGGAGGGCCCACACCATCAGAGGATACCAGTTCAGGAGGGGATAATGGCCAGCATGCCCCCATCCCACCAGAGCTCAGCCAGTGGTGATGGCCAATGTGCAGCTGCTGGTGCAAGATTCACTGAATCCTGCTGTGAAGAACTGTGTCCTGCCCCAGACCCAGACACCAGTGAGCTGGTGAGGAGACGGAGGGCAGGGCCCAGGCAAGGTCTGGGACCTTGAGGGATCCTAGCCCCTGAGCCCAACTCACATCTTTGCAGCTTTAACATCCAGATGTGTGTAGGAGTCACTGGGCACAGCATTCCTCAGAAGCTGCGTGAGTGTCGTGGTGGGGACAGGAGGGAGGTGGTCCTGGGCTCCCCTGGAGGCTGGCCAGGGAGACTCTGACCCTCCCCGCTCGCCCTGCCAGCCCTACACGCTGAGCTGCAGCTGGACCGGCAGAAGCCTCGCCAGGGCCGGCGGGTGCTACTGCTGAATTCTCAACAGGCGGGCACCACCCTGCATCTGGACCTGGGCGGGAGGCACAGCCCCATCTGCCACTCCACCATGGCCTTCCTCCGGGTACGCCAGGCTGGGGATGGGCCGGGCTGGGTGCGCCAGCCTGTTCGTCCAGCCCTGGGACACGGGCTGAGCGCTGTGGGTACGGGGGTGGTCAGTGGGACATGTATAGCAGGGTGCACAGTCTGACTCTTGTCCCCTCCCTAGGATGAGGCTGACTTCCGGGACAAGCTGAGCCCCATCGTGCTCAGCTTCAATGTGTCCCTGCAGCCCGAGAAGGACGGAATACCCCCCGAGCTCGTGCTTCACGGGGACACCCATGTCCAGCAGCAGGTGGGGGTGGGCGGGAGCAGGCAAGGGAGGTGCAGGACCCCTGCTCAGGGTTAGGGTTAGTGTCGAAGTCATAATGTGAACCCCACAATCTTGACGTCACCTCTCATCTGTGCTGTCACGCCAAACCCTAATGAAAAACCTCCAAATCTCAAAATTCCCTAAACCCCGACACAGGTCCCAAGTGTTGTTGATGTTACCTCTAAACACTGACAAACACATGAACCTTGATGTCACCATCCTGACATCGTCCCAAACCCTGATGCAAATCCCCAAGCCCTGACGTCAGCTCCAAACTCCTTTTCATTCTTGGACCTAATTCCCTAAGTTCCGATGTGACCCTCAAATTTCCCACACCCCCAGCTCACCCACACATCTTGACATGCCTCTTTTAGACCCGCATCATCCTGGACTGCGGAGAGGATGATCTGTGTGTGCCCCAGCTCCAGCTCACCGCCAACGTGTGAGGAGGCTGTCTGCCCCGTGACACCCCTTCGCCCCCCCCCCAGGGGGCCTGATACTCTGTCCTCACCCCTTCCCGGATCCTGGGCCTGGACCAAGCCTCCTCTGCTTTTTTTTTTTTTTTTTTTTTTGTAACTCCTTTGTCCTCACAGGATGGGCTCCCCACTCCTCATTGGAGCTGACAATGTGCTGGCAAGCCTGAATGGATACATTAATGAGGGAGGGGCCTAGAGGCGGGGAGGCACAGTTGTCGCATACCCCAGGTGCCCACTACATGAGGGCCATCAGCAACATTGAGGTGAGGCCCCACCCAGGGGCATTGCTGGGGACCTGATTAGGTGCACCAGGCACTTGACTCTCATTTTACCTGGACCCCACTTCTCTTGTGCATTGCTGTAAAACTGATTTTTTTTTTTTTTTTTTTTGCTAATGGCATAAAATCCAAGGGCTCTATTATAAAACGCAAACCCCAAATGGCTCAGGTACGAAATGTTAGCAGAAACTTCTGTTAACATTTGGTGGATTTCCTTTCAGTCTTTTTTCTTAGCATCCACAGACACTTAACATGGGCATATATTTATTTTTTATTTTGTTGATGTAGTTTCTAACAATGGAAGCATCCTGTATGTAATGTTTTTGTATTTTTATTTCCCAAAATTGCATTAAAAATAATAAGTTGCCCAGGGTGCCTGGCTCATTCAGTTAAGCGACCAACTCTTGATTTGCGCTCAGGTCATGATCTCATGGTTCATGAGTTTGAGCCCTGCATCAGGCTCTATGCTGACTGTGCAGAGCCTGCTTGTGATTCTCTTTCTGCCTCTCCCTCTCTCTCTCTCAAAAATAAAATAAGTAAACTTAAAAAAAAAAAAAATGATCAGGCGCGGGGCGCCTGGGTGGCTCAGTCGGATAGGTGTCTGACTTCGGCTCGGGTCATGATGTCATGGTTCGTGAGTTCGAGCCCCGCATCAGGCTCTGTGCTGACAGCTTAGAGCCTGAAGCCAGCTTCAGATTCTGTGTCTCACTCTCTCTGTCCTTCCCTCACTTGTGCTCTCTCTTTCTCTCTCTCAAAAGTAAATAAACATTAATAAAATTAAAAAAAAATGATCAGGTGCTACTGTGAGACACAAGGAAGAACGTGACAGTCCCTCAGACTCCCACCCCAAGGCACCCCTCTCTGCACCCTTGCACACAAGTCTCTTCCAGACTTTCCAAGGGAGCTTAAATATATATGGGATGCTCTGCAACCATCTTCTTTCTTGAAACTACCTTCCTGAAGGGCTTTGAGAGACTCATCTGTAACCAGAAGAAAGAGAATGAGACCAAGGTGGTGCTGTGTGAGCTGGGCAACCCGATGAAGAAAAATGCCCGGGTGAGGCACAAGTCGTGGGTGCTTGGTCTGCTCCACCAGAGGCTCATACATAGCCGAGCTTTAGGGGCTGGGTTTGGAGTCATATAGCCCCGGGCTGGAATCCTGGGCCTCACACTCCCTGCGTTCTTGGGTGAGTGACTTTCCCTCTCTGAGTGGGCTTCTGAGATAACAATGGTGACTTGGAGGATGGAAACTGGAGGCCACATTCAGGACAAGGCTGCCCAGAGTGGGCATTTGGGCCGTGACTTTGGCCCTCCCTCTCTCTCAGATGGGAATCACGATGTTGGTGAGCGTGGGGGACCTGGAAGAGGCTGGGGAGCATGTGTCCTTCTGGCTGCAGATCAGAAGGTATGGGCAGGGGAGCATTCCTACCCACCACCCTTCCCCTATCTGATCCCGATGCAGAGACCCTGAGATGCTCTCCTTCCAGAAGGGTCTTTTGGGATGCCTGCTCTTCAGACGTCCTTGTTCCCTTTCTTCCCCCAGAGACTTGTTTCTGAGTCTTGGAGCCCTAAAGGAAGTTCTTACCCAGGTCTAACTTCAGTGTGGCATGCTGCCTGTGGAGTTAGCGCTTCCTGAAGCTTCTGAAATTCTGGCCCCATCCAGAGAGTTCTGATGTTCACTGGGCTGGTGTCCCTAACATGCTTCTCCTGTCCCCTCCCCTCCAGCAAGAATAGCCAGAATCCAAACAGCGAGGCTGTGCAGCTGGATGTACCAGTCCGGGCAAAGGCCCACATGGAACTGCGAGGGTGAGACCAGGGGTAGATCAGGGAGATGGTGGGCAGGACCCGAAGGTTCAGAGGGCCTGGGGGGAAGCCCTAGAGGCAAGTCAGGTGCTCAAGCTCACCCTGGGGGCTTGGGCCCCTGCAGGAACTCCTTTCCAGCCTCCTTGCTGATGGTGGCGGAAGAAGGCAACGGGGAGAACAACTCGGACAGCTGGGGCCCCAAAGTTGAGCACACCTATGAGGTACCAAGGACCACCTGGGACCCAGGCTGGGGTGGAGGGTACCCAGGAGCTACGCACTCACTAGGTGCTGAGCTACCTAACATCTGCCATCACCACCCACCAGCTCCATAACAATGGCCCCAGCACTGTAAGTGGCCTCCACCTCAGCCTTAGCTTTCCCAGCCAGTCCCAGCCCTCTGACCTGCTCTACATCTTGGATATACAGCCTCAGGGGGGGCTTCAATGCTCCCCACAGCCGGCTCCTAACCCCCTCAAGGTGAGAGCCTGGGTGGAAGAAACACCTATGGGTGAGGCCCCAGCCCAGCAACCAGGGCCCCTCTGGGAGGGTGGGGAGATGATCGGTGCTCTGGACCGACTGACTGCTCTTTGCCTCCCCAGCTGGACTGGGGGCTGCCTACCCCCAGCCCTTCCCCCATTTACACGGGGCATCACAAGCGGGACCGCAGACAGGCCCTCCTGCCAGGGTCCAACCAGCCCTCCAGGCTTCAGGATCCAGTTCACCTGGTGAGCAAGCTCTGTGGTCTGCAGCTGGGGCTTCTTCCCTGGGGCCCAGGGGACAGAGGCTCTGGGAAGCAGGGAGAGCGGCTGGCAGTGTGATGTGGGCCTTGGGTGTGCCACCTTTGTCCCACGGAACACTCCAAATGAATATGAAGGGTTGAGCTGGTCTTGTGTCTGGGCCGGGTGGGAATATTTGAATTTTCAAAGGTTCCTGGTACATTAAAGAAAATGGAGAAATGCCAAAGCAGAGTTACAAAAATTCTGGGTATTGAACACTATATGATGACCCACTTCTCGGCCCTTCCTCGCATTTCTGGAACGATGTGAGCAACCCCATTTAGAGACAACGTCAGACGCTTGAATCTGAGGCCCTTCCTGAGAGGGAGCCCGGAGCTCCCTGCCCCCCTGCCCCTTCCTGTTGTTGGGTCCTTGGGGTGAGGGGTCAGAGGGGCTGGGAACTAATGACTCATCCCCTTAGAGCTGCGACTCAGTGCCCTGTACAGTGGTGCAGTGTGAGCTACAGGAGATGGCACGAGGGCAGCGGGCCATGGTCACGGTGCTGGCCTTCCTGTGGCTGCCCAGCCTCCAGCAGGTGGGGGCAGATGCTGGAGGGCGGGGCTTTCTGGCGGTGGGGACCAAGTTTGTTCTGGGGAGAGATAGGGCACGAGGGGGGGTGGGCGGTGGTGAAGAGAGAGGGAAGGCAAGGCTTATTTTTGAGGAGCCAAGCTTAGGCCAAGGGCAGGACTCCAAGGTAGCGGGGAGGCTAGGGCCAGGACTCCTACAACCAATAGACTCATGTAAATGGCTTTCACCCCCACCCCATTCAGAGGCCACTGGATCAGTTCGTGCTAAAGTCAAAAGCTTGGTTCAACGTCTCCTCCTTTCCTTACTCTGTGCCCGCCCTCAGCCTGCCCAGTGAAGAAGTTACGGTGAGTATAGACCCATGGTGGCAGGGGACAGGAGCCCTGCAGGACCCACTGTCTTCCCAAGTGTCTGCACCCTGCAGGATGGGGGCGGGACACCCCTGGGTCCGAGGGGCGGCACAGGTAGGTGGCTGGCTCAGAGATGCGCATCCCACAAGTTTGAGTCTTTGGGAAAGACAGGTGTCAGGGTGACTGAGAAGACACGTGGGTTTGCCCTCAGGTCGAGACGCAGCTGCTTCGTGTCTTGGAGGAGAGAGACATTCCAATCTGGTGGGTGCTGTTAGGCGTATTGGGCGGCCTGCTGTTGCTCACGGTCCTGGTCCTGGCCATGTGGAAGGTAAGTCCTGAAGGGAGAGTGGGGTCCCCAGGAGGGCACACAGTTGGCCCTGCCCTACCTCACAGCGAGGCAGAGAGAGATGGTGACTTAGGGTCCATTCACATCTCTACCATTAGAGTCTCATTCTCCAGAGGACCTCTTCCAGGGCACAGACCTCTGGGAGAGGTGGCCCCTGAAATCCTAAGGCCTTTTCAGTCTGTTCCCCACTGACAGGAAGAGTCACAGGGAGTGAGTCCTGCCTTCAGGAATTCCCTGGCTACTGAGGAAGACAGGGCTCACCTCCTCCTGACTCTGTCCTTCCCCCTGACTGAGGTGGGAGACCCGGGAGGCCCTGGTGGGTCACTTCCTCCTCTGTGCCAGGAGCGCTGTTCTCAAACTCGCTCAAGTGTTCAAGCGCTGGGAAGCCATGGCACTTTTAGGGAAAATCATGCGTTAAGACTTAAAATCATCAAATACATATTGTGTGCTAGAGTCACAGAGAGATACACAATCGCCAATATTTAAGAAATAGTCAAGAGTGGGGGTGCCTGGGTGGCTCAGTAAGTTGAGTGTCTGACTCTTGATTTCAGCTCAGGTCATGAGGTCACAGTTTGTGGGAATGAGCCCCATGTCAGGCTCTGAGCTAACAGCGCAGAGCCTTCTTGAGATTCTCTCTCTCTCTCTCTCTCTCTCTGCCTGCCCCCCTCAAAATAAATAAATAAACGTTAAAAGAAAGGATAAAAAGTCAAGGGAAAAAAACAAAAAAGCAACTTGTTACATGTATTCTCTCTGAGTGGGGATGGCGGCCGTGTTGGCAGTGGGATCCGATTCTGTGCTGGTCCAGGGACAGGACCTCGTGTCTGGCTGCTTTCTAGAATTCTTCCTCAACTGCTGCTCTGGGGCCCACCCATCATCTTTACACCCTGTCCCCGGCCCTTGTGCGCCCCCAGGTTGGCTTCTTCAAGCGTGTTCGGCCACCACTAGAAGAAGATGAAGAGGAGGAGTGAAGGGGCAGCGTCGCTGTGTCCTGGGAGCATCCTGGGAGGAAGGCGGCAGGCGTGCCCGCCCCTCCCCTTCTTCAGGGTGCACCCCCAGCTCTATGGGTTGGAGCTGTCCCCTAGACACCCGATATTCTCCCCTCCAGTGAGAGCTGGCCACTCCCTTCCCTGCTGGCAAATAAAGAGGCTGAGCCCCAACCCCCAGCACGCTGTCTCCTCTTGGCTCAGTGAAGAGAAGGGCACCGGGCATGAGGTGGTGTTTGGAGTGAGGGGCTGGGGCTGGCAGAAGGGTGAGTGGAGAGTGTCTCTGCCAGGCAAAGGTGGCATATTATCATCTTTGGGGAGTGCCTGGAAGTGGAGAGTGGGGTGGAACAGGGGAGAAAGGGTGACAGAGCTTCCAGGTGATACTGGAGAAAGATGGGATGTCTGGGTGGCATGGAAATTGGGGGCATCGGAGAAGGCAGGCTGGTCTCTGGTGGACAGCTTTAAACAGTATTTTTTTTTTTTTTTTTGAGGGATAAGCCTCAAGTTGACCTGAGATTGGGAACATAACATGCTCTTCCCACTCCTGTTAAAAGAAAAGAAAGAAAAGAAAAGAAAAAAAAAAGAAAAGAAAAGAAAAGAAAAGAAAAGAAAAGAAAAGAAAAGAAAAGAAAAGAAAGCTTTTAAAGCCATGTTCAGATTGAGGAGGGGCAGGGGAGGCTGACTAAACCCTCAGCCTGAGGAAGGCAGCATCACACCAGGGAGAGGAGATTAGGCATTGCTGTCCAGCTACCCTTCCTCCCCATCAAGGAGAAGGCTCTTCAGTTAGGAAAGAGGCCCCGGGCAAGGAGTTCACGGGCCTAGGAATGGAAGATAGCTCTCCCTCCTCCCGCTGAGACTGGAATCCAGGGATAGCTGTCAGGGTCCACCAGGAGTCCTGAGAAACGTGTTGATTTATGGGTTCAATAAATATTTATTGAGTGCCTACCATGTGCCCAGTGCTCTCCCAGTGCTGAGACGGCGGAACGAACAAAACAACGTACCTGCCCTTTTGGAATTTACATTCAACCCAGGGTAAAGAGGAAACAAGTAAATAAATGTATGGTCAGTGGTGGTCAGTGCTGGGAGTAAAAATAAAGGTAAAGAGATTGTGATAGAATTCTGTGGGAGAGGGCTGCCATTTTAGGTAGAGTGGTCAGGGAAGGCCTCTCCGATGAGGTGAGGAGAGAGATGGATGAAAGAGACAATGGCTGCACAGGAATAACATGTTTTGGACAGAAAGAGCAGCCAGTGAAAAGGCCCTGAGGTGGGAGCAGGCTTGATGTGTTTAAGTAAAAGCAAGGAGGCCCATGGATTGGAGGCAGGCATGGGTCCAGTTGAGGTCAGGGCTGGGGAGCAGGCAGGCAGCATCTTTCAGCCATGGGTAGGACTTTGGACTAGATGCTAAGTGTTGGGGGAAGCCATTGATGAACAGACTTACTTCACAGGAACTTCTGGTATTTGATTTTACCCAAATAGGTAAAGGTAAATTTTGAAAAGAAAACAATTTGATATCCATGCATGGCAAGTTCCAGAACAGGTTTTTAGTTGGGTGACTGTGACTGCTTAGGGAAAGATTAAGCTGCTGTGATCCTTCAACACCAGCCAGACTCCCTCTCCACTCCACCACTGCAACTGGATGGGCCCAGACAGTTTATCTTGATCCAGCAAAGCGTTTGGCAAGACAGAAATGTGAGCTGGATTTAAAACTGAAGAATTTTGATAAAGCTGAAGAAGATCTCTAGAAGGTTGTTCCTTCTACAAGCTCCATCCTGGTTCTGAGCTGCCTGGTATTGTCATGAGACCCCTGAAAGGAGGCAGGGAAGCTGCTCTCCACCCCGCAGGTGGCTGCTGGCTGTGAGGGAGCCCCAGCACAATGGGTGACTGAAGCCCATTCAAGGCAGCCTTGACAGATTGTAAAGTTGGGTGGAAACCAACAAGATGAAACTCACCAGGGACGAATGCTAAATCCTGTGTTGAGGTTGTGAAAAATTGGTTACATAAGAAGACTGGGAAATCTGGTTAGATGGAAATTTCTGAGAAAGAGGGAGGAAGGGGGAGAGGGAGAGACAAAAGGAGGGAAACAAGAAAAGAAAAAGAAAAAAAGAATGAAAGAAGAGAAGGGAGAGAAGGTAGGAGGAAGGGAGTAAGGGGGGAAGGAAGGAAGGAAGGAAGGAAGGAAGGAAGGAAG